TTAGGTGTATGTGGCTGGCGCCTTAGCCACTTGAGCCACAGGCGCCGAGCCCCAAAGAGACTTTTTAAACTGAATTTGTAGTGAACAAACATGTACTAAAAAGTGTATACATACTCAGGGAGGAAAAGACCCTGAGGAATATCCAATGATGCTTACATAAATACACATATTTTACAGTAAGTCTCTGAATGAAGAGAACAATGACATGGGAAAAAGAACTGATATTAATACAGAAAAAGTCAACTGCCCCAAACCAAATAGCCAAGCATCCCCTCCAAAAACAGAGCCTGTAAGGAATAAAATAACTCCTTTCAAACACAATGGACTATTTCACATACAGTTATGCTTACACATTTGTAGCTATAGCAAACAAATTTAAAAAACCCAAATATAAATATTTTAATTACAACATCCTGTTTTAAAACGAAGACTTCAGTGTATCCCATAACGCACACTGCTTTGGGAGCAAAGAGATACGCAGTCAGAGCTGAGAGGTATGAAGAAGGTCCCTTATGTCACTTCATTTCATTAAAATTTCTGAAAGCACACCAGACTATGGAAAAGATTTGTTTTACTTTGAAGAAAGTAAGGGAAATTTTGAAAAATGCAAAAGGACATAAAGAACTGGAAGTCTTATAGTACACCTGTAAGTATGATTATTGTTCCAAAAGATTCTTAATGCTTTAATAATTGCTCAACAAAGACCATGAGAAATCCACTAAATGACACAAAAAGACACACAAAGATGACTCATGCCAATAATTGCCCTGTCATTTAAATGTTTCAGGTAGGGCTGGACAAGTGGGGCTCATGCCTGTAATACTCTTGGGAGGCCAAGTAGGGAGGATTGCTTGAGGTCAGGAGTTTAAGACCAACTTGAGTAAGAATGAGATCTGGTCTCTACTAAAAATAGAAAAACTTAGCCAGGTATTATGGCAGGCAACTGTAGTCCCAGCTACTAGAGGCAGGAAGACCACTTGAACCGAGGAGTTTTAGGTTGTTGTGAGCTAGGCTGATACCATGGCACTCTAGCCCCAGCAACAAAGACTCTGTCTCAAAAAAAAAAAAAAAAAAATTGTCAAGTAATTTTTTCCAAAAAGAAATACTATCATCCAGATTCTTTTGGCTCAAAGTTACTTGACCCATGTACCTGAATGTTATACTGCCTGATCAATACTAATCCATATTACCTAATTCCTTCCAGAAGTCAGTAGAAAGTACAAAAAAAGATAGTGATCTCAAACTTGCAGCTCAGCAAGACCTACATACCGGCAAATCCACGCTAACATCAGTACCATCCAGAAGGGACACTCGACATGTGATGATAGACTTAGAATCTCCAGCTGCAGGAATATGTGTGGCAGCTCGCTGTGCCTCTCGGAGTCGTTCCTTCTCTGCATGTTTTCGCATTGACCGACGCCCAAGTGTTCTACGGAAGAAGCTCAGCATTTTTGTCACTATAAAACCAGAAATAAAAAGATGGCATCAGGAGAAACGATTTCCCACAACTTGCAATCAGACAAATGGCATTATTTAGTAAAGTCCTGCGGGGACTGAGTCCTGTGGGGACTGCCCCTGCGGGGCTCCTAGTCAAATAAATGTGAAACAAATATTAATAATTAAAACTAGCTAATTTTTATTCATATTTCAAAATGACATATTGTACATGACAAATATACACAACTTCTGTCAATTAAAACTTAATTTAAAAGCTGGATACTTTAATTCAAAGTTTTTAAAGACCCATAAGACAGAGCTGTGGTTTATAGCTTTCTAAACTTATTGCAGTATTTTATAGGGAGCAGACCTGGCAGGAGAGGGCAAACACGGAATTCATTAGGTCTTTTGAATCAATAAATTATACACACAATAGTTGTATATCCTTACAAACATCAGATGTTAGACACTAGGGTATCCTTTGAGCATAAAAATCCTGAGAAGTTCCATTTCTTTTGTAAACAGTTATAACAAAAATATTTTTCAAATCACCTGTTTCAGCTAGTTTTGGCTAAAGTACAAATTCAAATATCATTAAGTTGGGGTGGCACCTGTGGCTCAAAAGAGTAGGGCACTGGCCCCATATGATGCAGGTGGTGGGTTCAAACCCAGCCCTGGCCAAACACTGCAAAACTGCAAAAACAAACAAACAAACAAACAAACAAAAACAAATATCTTTAAGTTGTATTGAATATTCTATTACTTACAGATTTTAAATTACTCAACATAAGCCTTTGTAACATCAAATTACTTTAATACTACTTTCTTATCTCCATTAACAACATTAAGGTTAATCTAAAGTTAAAACATGACTTGGGTGTCCAATGCTCAGTGGTTAGGATGTCAGCCATACACACTGAGACAGGCAGGTTCGAACCGGCCTGGGCCTGCTAAACGACGACAACTGCAACAAAAAAACAGTCAGGTGTTGTGGCAGGTGCCTGTAGTCCCAGTTACTCAGGAGGCTGAGACAAGAGAATCGCTTGAGCCCAG